GCTACCAGAAGAGGAGAGACTCTGCTCCCAGTGTGACAGAGGACAGGTAGAGACAGAGCTGCACTTTCTAACCTCATGCCCTAAATTCAAAACTTTAAGAGAAAAACAATTCGCAAATATTTCCCAAATATTCCCCGATTTAGAATTATTATCAGACACACAGAAACTCCCCTATTTACTGGGAGAAATGCCCAAAAGTCAAATTATTGCAGCAAAATATGTCTCCTCATGCTACGAACTGAGGACAACCAGTGGAAACTCAGACGGATAAATATATAAAATATATATATATATTATTTTAATTTATTTATTTTCTTTTATTTTTTATTCATTAATAAAGATTGTCTTTTAATATATATATATACACACACACACACACATACTCACACACACACACACACACACGTTTACAGCTATTTTATTTTAATTTTAATATATTTTAATGGTTTTTAACACACACGCTTACTATTTTATTTATTTATTTTAATATTATTTTCATCTTCTAACTTCTAACCTCTAACCTTCTAACTTCTAACCCAAAAGTCAAATTATTGCAGCAAAATATGTCTCCTCATGCTACGAACTGAGGACAACCAGTAGTAGTAGTAACTTTTTTTCTTCTTCTTTGTTATTACTGTTATATTGACAACAGACTGCTTGTTTTAACTGTAGTTACTTTACTACTGTTTTAATGACATTTGTAGTTGACACAAACTGATTGATTGATTGATTTAATTAATTACTTATTGACTGAGATTGATTGACTGTGATTGAGTCAATCATAGTTACAGTATTACCAATAGTATTGATTATAATTCATTTATTGTAAATATTGTTTTCCTTTATTGTTATTATTATTTTTAATTCCAAATGTTTGCTTTGGCAATATGTACAGTGTTACATCATACAGAGAGAGAGAGAGACAGACAGACAGACAGACAGACAGACAGACAGACAGACAGAGAGAGAGAGAGACAGACAGAGAGACAGAGAGAGAGACAGAGACAGAGAGAGAGACAGCACATTGGATAAACTCACTGATCACTAAAAAACAACAAAACACGACAAACTGAGCTGAACAACGTTTTAATTACAAACAGGTCGAGTATCAAAATGAGGCAGACAGGTTACAGACACACAGACAGGTTACAGACACACAGACAGGTTACAGTCCGAGCAGGGTTTTCGCGGTCTGACTTTGAGCCTGAAGAGTCTCGCTGGCGTAGCGCTGCAACAACTCCATCTTCTTCCTCCTGACCAGAGCCTCCTCCACCTGACAGACAGACAGGTCAGAGACAGACAGGTCAGAAATAGACAGAGGTCAGAGACAGACAGTCAGGTCAGGTCAGAAACAGCCGTCTCACCTCTTTCTGTGAGGGGACAGGTACGTGTGCGATGAAGGCGACTCCACCTTCCTCTCCCTCCTGCTCCTCTCGGCTCTCTTCGTCATCCAGCTGCACACACACAAAACAAACACACCTCACTGACTGTCACACAGGTAGCTCCGCCCACCACCCAGTGTACTACAGCGATCAGCCAATCAGAGCTGTTACTTTCATTAACAGAACCCTGAGGGTCCCGGACTGAACGGGGACAGTTCACCTCCTCACTGTGGACCCGGTAGATGCTCTCCTCCTCCTCCTCTTCCTCCTCCGGTGGCTGTTTGTCTCCTGACAGACGAGACTCCTTCTCTGTTCTCCACCTCTGCACCGCCTCCAGCACCGCTGCACACACACACACACACACACACAGTATATACACACTGCACACACACAGTACACACAGTATATACACACTGCACACACACAGTACACACAGTACACACAGTATATACACACTGCACACACACAGTACACACAGTATATACACACTGCACACACACAGTACACACAGTATATACACACTGCACACACACAGTATATACACACTGCACACACACACTGCACACACACAGTATATACACACTGCACACACACACTGCACACACACAGTATATACACACTGCACACACACAGTATATACACACTGCACACACACACTGCACACACACAGTATATACACACTGCACACACACAGTATATACACACTGCACACACACACTGCACACACACAGTACACACAGTATATACACACTGCACACACACAGTATATACACACTGCACACACACAGTATATACACACAGTACACACAGTATACACACACAGTATATACACACTGCACACACACACAGTATATACACACTGCACACACAGTATATACACACAGTACACACAGTATACACACACTGCACACACACAGTATATACACACTGCACACACACACAGTATATACACACAGTACACACAGTATATACACACACAGTACACACAGTATATACACACACAGTACACACAGTATATACACACAGTACACACAGTATATACACACTGCACACACACACTATATACACACTGCACACACACACAGTATATACACAGTATATACACACTGCACACACACACAGTATATACACACTGCACACACAGTATATACACACACAACACACACAGTATATACACACACACACACACACAGTATATACACACACTACACACACAGTATATACACACACACACACACACACACACACACACACACACACACACACACACACACACGATCTACCTTGTTTCTCGTACTCCATCTCCAGGGGAAGCAGCACTCCATCGTCTTCATCTCTGTAGCCGTAATACTCTGCGTCCACTTCCTTCATCAGCTCCGCCCTCGTCTTCCTCAGCGCTGGGGCAGCTGGGAGTCACATGATGAGTGAGAACCAATCAGACAGCGGTACAGAGATGGATGGTTAGATATAAAAGTAAAGTTTACGTACGCTCCTTCTCAAACAGCTCCCTGACTCCAGGAAGGTCTCTGGCTGCTCCAAAGTACTTATACCCTCGATTTCCAGGAACCTCCTTCCCCTCGTGGTCCAACATCTTCGGACCGACACGCTGAGACACGCAAACATATAATCAATACAAACACATCATCAATACAATTGATAAATAATTAACAGACACATTGTCAATACCACAAGGGCAGTGAAACACAACAAGGACACTGGCTCCAGTACAGACACTGGCTCCAGTACAGACACTGCCAACAAGGACACTGGTTCCAGTACAGACACTGGCTCCAGTACAGACACTGGTTCCAGTACAGACACTGCCAACAAGGACACTGGTTCCAGTACAGACACTGGTTCCAGTACAGACACTGCCAACAAGGACACTGGTTCCAGTACAGACACTGGCTACAGTACGGACACTGGCTACAGTACGGACACTGGCTCCAGTATAGTCACTGGCTCCAGCACAGACACTGGCTCCAGTACAGACACTGGCAACAAGGTCAATGCTTCCAGTACAGACACTGGCTCCAGTACAGACACTAGCAACAAGGTCAATGGTTCCAGTACAGACACTGGCTCCAGTACAGACACCGCCAACAAGGACACTGGCTCCAGTACGGACACTGGCTCCAGTGCAGTCAATGGATACAGTACAGACACTGGCTTCAGTACAGACACTGGCAACAAGGTCAATGGTTCCAGTACAGACACTGGCTCCAGTACAGACACTGGCTCCAGTACAGACACCGCCAACAAGGACACTGGCTCCAGTACGGACACTGGCTCCAGTGCAGTCAATGGATACAGTACAGACACTGGCTTCAGTACAGACACTGGCAACAAGGTCAATGGTTCCAGTACAGACACTGGCTCCAGTACAGACACTGGCTCCAGTACAGACACTGGCTCCAGTACAGACACTGGCAACAAGGTCAATGCTTCCAGTACAGACACTAGCAACAAGGTCAATGCTTCCAGTACAGACACTGGCTCCAGTACGGACACTGCCAACAAGGACACTGGCTCCAGTACGGACACTGGCTCCAGTACAGTCAATGGATACAGTACAGACAATGGATACAGTACAGACACTGGATACAGTACAGACTAAGGATACAGTACAGACACTGGCAACAAGGTCAATGGTTCCAGTACAGACACTGGCTCCAGTACAGACTAAGGATACAGCACGGACACTGGCTCCAGCACGGACACTGGCTCCAGCACGGACACTGGCTCCAGCACAGACACTGCCAACAAGGACACTGGTTCCAGTACAGACACTGCCAACAAGGACACTGGTTCCAGTACAGACACTGGCTCCAGTACGGACACTGGCTCCAGTACGGACACTGGCTCCAGTACGGACACTGGCTCCAGTACAGACTAAGGATACAGTACAGACTAAGGATACAGTACAGACTAAGGATACAGTACAGACACTGGCAACAAGGTCAATGCTTCCAGTACAGACACTGCCAACAAGGACACTGGTTCCAGTACAGACACTGGCTCCAGTACAGACACTGGCTCCAGTACGGACACTGGCTCCAGTACGGACACTGGCTCCAGTACGGACACTGGCTCCAGTACGGACTAAGGATACAGTACAGACACTGGCAACAAGGTCAATGCTTCCAGTACAGACACTGCCAACAAGGACACTGGCTCCAGTACGGACACTGGCTCCAGTACGGACACTGGCTCCAGTACGGACACTGGCTCCAGTACGGACACTGGCTCCAGTACAGACTAAGGATACAGTACAGACTAAGGATACAGTACAGACTAAGGATACAGTACAGACACTGGCAACAAGGTCAATGCTTCCAGTACAGACACTGGCTCCAGTACAGACACTAGCAACAAGGTCAATGCTTCCAGTACAGACACTGGCTCCAGTACAGACACTGCCAACAAGGACACTGGCTCCAGGACAGACACTGGCTCCAGGACAGACACTGGCTCCAGGACAGTCAATGGATACAGTACAGACACTGGCTCCAGGACAGTCAATGGATACAGTACAGTCAATGGATACAGTACAGACACTGGATACAGTACAGACTAAGGATACAGTACAGACACTGGCAACAAGGTCAATGGTTCCAG